TTATTTAGTTGGAGTCTGAATTTTAGCTTTGTACCCATCATTCAATCATTCTTTTAAAGCATCAAAACCTGACTTTGCCTGCTCTAAAATGGGTTTTCCTATTACTCTTTGCGTGGGCAACCTAAACAAAGATTAATGCAGCGGTATTTTACAAATTGGGAAGCTTACTTCCCAAGTGTCAACTCTTTTGATTTTGGGTATTATTGTTACACTAGCTTTTCATGGTTGACTGATTCGACATTTCGTCTGCATCTGAAAACGACGGAAGATCATTATACTTTATAACATTAAGAGACTGTCTTGAGCAACTATTTGTTGCATAGGAATTATGTGGGATCCTTGTTTTTTTTTCCCTCCTCCCTCAGAGGACTTTTTTTCTTCTTCTAAGACAATTTATTGACTCTTTTATGAAAATTTATTTAAGGGATTTTGTACTGATTCGTTTTCTAAATATGTTGTGCTGATAAATTTAGCATTTTGGTTGTTTTCAGAACACGCCATGTTGAGAAAGTAGTGTTCATTTGACCTCATATATGTTCTTCTATTGGTGCATGCGTGGCTGTAATGTTAGTGCGTAGAGTGGTACTAGGGGCAAGTATGGTAATTTCTATTCAAATACTAATTTAACCTAAATTGGAAGCAATTCCGTTATAAAATTATAGGGCCACTTTTTCATGCGAAAATTTAGGAAAACATTGAATCGAAGAATCATTAATAACTAGACTGTTTAGAAAGTTTGTGCTCTTTATGGATGAACGTGGTTCCAAGGCTTTTCTAACCTGAGCTGCCATGCCTTTCTGTCATATTTAAAGGTTTTATGAAGTCGGCTATCATTTTTTTTGGGGGGGAAATTTGGGGCAAAAAGCCATGTATTAATGAAAAAAAAAAGTTACAAAATGAACCAAAAAACATCCCTATACCCAAAAATACAAGTAAAGAGGACCCAAAAGAGAGAAAAAAGAGAACAAAAAAAAAAAAGACCAAAATACATTGGACAAATAACGGACTCAGGTTAGTAGGGACCAACGCAGTCGGGTAACAACCCGGAAGCAAATCAAAGCATCAACCAACCCGAATAGAACAACTACTTTAAAGACATTTCCCTAGTTTCCACCAAAGCACATCACCATTGATCCAGTAGTATCCGAGAAGCTGCAAGTGCAAAACTGTCAGGAAGCTGCTTTGAGACTGTCCAAGGGGAAGTGATATCCAAGTGTTGGAACCAATCATCATCGTCCGCGAAGAATGGAAAATTCCCAACATACACCGTCCAGCTTAGCGAATTCAATAGTCCCCAATGTCCATATTCACGTAGCAAAGCACTCCAAGCTCGCAAAACGTCTGTTATTTCTCTCCCTCCAAATGTGATACACAGCACAGCAAATCACAAAATAACAAAAAACCTTTTCAGAAGAAAGAAGCTGCTGCTGATATTCAAAAAACTAAAAAATTTGTAATAGAGTAGTCCTGAATAAAAAACCTCGCAAAATCGTAAGAAGGGAGGAAATCACTAGAAACGAAAAATCACATTAAAAGCAAATATGATTTATACTCTTCGGCTCCTTACTGCAAAGAGAACAGTTAAGATCAACCAAAATGTTCCTTCTAGCTAAAATTTCAGCAGTTTTTATGCCATCCAGCAATGCCATCCAAACATAAGAAGAGTATCTAAGAGCATGTCTTTTGTGGAGAAAATGATCGAATTGATGCTCTTAACTTCTTATGAAGGACGAAAATAGTATCGGACTATTTAAAAGTACCAATTTAGTCTTTTGACCCTCTAAATAGAGATGAAATTAGTCCTTCTGTGGGTACATTTTGGTCCCTGTTTAATAAAGGACTAAAATGGGTCTAGGGACCATTTTGATTCTCCATAAATAAAGAATAAAGTGACTGTTGACCTTCACCTTACAACAAAAAAAATGCTTAAAATGATTACTTACCTGTACCAAATCTTTGCCCAAATCAGCAACCCATACCCTGCAACGGCGCCGAAGTTAGTCGTTTCACACATGCTCCATCTAAATCCCGCGTTGGCCATGCTCCCACTTGTCGTTAAGGGGAACGAAGAGGGCTCCTTTGGTTCGCTTCTTCCCACTCGACCTCCACTGCCGCAACTCTCCTTATAGCCAAAATCAGACCCGACCTCCTACTAACACTTCCGATTCTTAGCCAAAGCCGAACTCTCTGTACCCCGTCGATTTCGCCTCTCCCTTCTGCCGTCAAATCTCCGACCTCTTCCAACCTCTGTGTTGAATCACTACACAACAACAACAGCAATCCAGTCTTCTCTGGTCAAATCCCGACTCCATCCTTGCCCAATCCTTTGGTCCACACAAGAGAGAGAGAGAGAGAGAGAGAGAGAGAGAGAGAGAGAGAGGTAGCTTTCTCCATACCTATCCAAGCCCTAGCCGAACCTCCTCTGCGAATCCCTCTTCTCGTCAAAGCTCCTCACGCAAGCCGCCTCCACCTTAGAGCCGACACCTCACCTCCTATGTTGCACGGATACTCCTATAGTGTTCATCTTCTTCGCTATAGTTGAAGGAGCGGCTCGATGACGTGAGCATAGAAGCAAACATGATCATCCTTTGTCGACAAAGAGGCTTGACGACGCGAGCATTAAAGTCGTTAGGATCATCCTTCGTCGACGAAGCGGCTCGACAACGCGAACAGTGAAGGCGACGTGAGCAGTGAAGGTTTGTTTTCTTCGTCGTTCTTCGTTTTCTTAATCATAACCTCGGTATAAAAAATAAGTCTATAAACCAGGGGATACACAATATTTTTTTGGCCTTTATAATATGTTTTGCAAAAGCAGCGATGCTAGTCAAGTAGCTAAACTCATCGCTTGCACGCATATCAATAATATAAATAGATAGATGATGTTCAAGAGACACAAGATCAACCATAGAGAAATCTGTTGAATATAACTCTACAAGACAAATTAATTTTCCCTTGTCATAAGCAAAGAATATATTACTTGGATTTAAACATTTCACACAAAGAAGTAACTCAGTGCTAGTATTTGAGAACTGATTATTCAGTTTCTGAAGTTGCATATTAACAACAATGTAGAATAAGTCAACTCGATAATGATGGAAGTTTGTTATTTCTGCACCTTTTCGTACTAACTGTCCATGAGCCTTGAATATAGAATTTATATTTGGAACTTCAGTATCAAAAATATTATAAAAACATGACACTTCTTCAAGTAATGGCTATCACCCATTTTCCCTTATCTTTTGCAATCGTTGTTTGAACACTTCTACCAATTTTATTGCATTTATGATATATTGATCTTTTCTTTGTAAGGCTTGAAATTCATTCGGAATCCCTAAAATATTAATCATTAAATGCAGTGTCAAGACAAAGTTAAAAGATTTTATAGTATGTATTAAAACACTAGCTTCAACTGACTGATCATTTCATAGTATGTATTAAAACACTAGCTTCAATTGACTGATGATCATGTGATGCAGGACTACTTAGATGACATGTTATGGATTCATGTGGGCATTGCACAACTAATAGATTAGAACAATTTCGGAACAAAATTACAAGCGATTGTCAAACGATAATTAAAACAAATGAGTGGATCAATTGCGTAGGCTAAATCACATGCTCCGAGTTTGAACTATCAAGATAATTAAGAAAATAGAAGCAATACAGAATAGTAGTTTCAAGTTAAATCCCTAATCTAACAACGAGACGTAGGATGCATAGAAGATTACACTCAATTCCTACAAATGACTAAGCTTGGCAAGAGCACTTTGAAGGAGCTTTTGTGATTGCAATCAACCAATTGAGAATTTAGAGTTAGAAGAAATTGAATACAAATGGAGAAGAGAAAGACCTTTGCTTAAGGAGACGTGGAGATCCGTCATTTGATGCCTTCAACGTCTTCGTCCATGGCTTCTTCCAAATGTTGATCTCAAAACCTGAAATTGTGTTCAGGTTTGGCTCCAAATCTTTGAAAGAAAATCTAAAAAAGGTTTCAGATTTTCTAGCTAAACTTTAGAGAAAGTTTCAGATTTCTCTAAGTAGACAGTCGAATTCTTTGGAGGAAAGCTTGTGCAGGCAATTCAAGAGACGGCTTAATGAGAGGGAAGATAGTTTGGAAAGAAAAAGGGAGCACGGTAAAGGCTTGGGCGGCAATGAAGAGGTGCCAGGAAAATTCTTTCCAAAGAAGCAGAAGTGAAAAAGGCAAGAAATATGGAGCTTGGAGTCCCTGGAATATTCGGCCAGAGAAAGAAATAATTTGAATTATTTCTAACTGGGTTTAGGTGGTGATTTGAAATTGCTCCTAATAACGTTAGAGGAAGTTTAGGAAAGAAATTCTCAAAATCCTCCTGTAGAAGCCGGCGGTATGAGGAATTTCAGGGTGCAATTAATGAGTGCAATGAAGGCTCCTTAAATTCAGTTATGGCTTCAGAAAGATGAAATTTAAATCCAATGGAATTTAAAATTCAAACTAGGCCCCAAATAGATACTTTCCTAAAATAAAGGAGTTATATTAGGAAATATCTTGAATTCAAAAAAAAAAAAAAATTCAAATGAATTAAAAGTAGAAATCCCTCTAGATTAATTCACCACCCAAATTAGGAAACTCCAGAGTGCAAGGGGGATGAGTCTTTTTTTTTTTCCCGTTGTGTCGTTTTCTTGTTATAGCTGGAATTTTGGCAAGCACACATTGAAACATGAATCTAAGAGCTTAGCTGCTTCTTCTAGTCGGTTCACTCTTTTTTTCATAAATTATACATGTTGAGCTTGTAGTAATAAGTTGGCAAATTTTGGCTGGTGCTGATTGCGAGAATGAAAGAATACTGAAACGTTTGAATATAGAACATTTCTTTGTATATTTTGCTCTGTTGTTTTTTGTTATTTTGGTTCGCTTTTGTGGAATTTTCTGCTGGTTTATTGTTAACATACAGCAACTGATCCTCTTGTTGAAACTAAGAATGAACAACACGGATTATTGACCAATTTCATTATTGATTCTGCAGTATAAGTTGTGCTCATGGCTGGCTATTGTTTTCTGTGCTGAATCTCTTGTAAACATGAGGAACTTTGAGGCTGATCTTAAACAGGTATCCATGGCCATGATGTAAGTAAACTCTGAATATGTCCGCTTGCATCTTTTCAGTTCTTTCATTAAAATTGAATTTAAATATTACTATGTAACTACATCATCCCTTTTTTGCAAAATTTTTTCATTGCGTAATGAGATGAAATATGCATTATGCAACTAAGACTGAGAAGAACAGTTGGATTGGTGTCTATTAGTTTGTTGTGTTGTGATTAGGTCTCGTTTTCATCTACTATCATGAGAATACAAACTTATGAATTAACAATTTGATGATTGTGACATTTTTTTTTTGGTTACAGGCACACTTCTTAATGCAGAGTAACCTTTTTTTTACTCGTTGGCATTGAATGTTACTTTGGCTAAAATTTCATTTTCAGCAATACATCTAATAAAATGTTTTGATAGTATAAAGATACTTGACCCCGGGCATATAGATTATTTTAAGTTGATCTATCAACACAAAATACAAAATACACCAACATCTTTCAGAAATAATAGGAATGCATGCAAGCAAGGAAAATATAGAAAAAAACATTATTTTCCAGTAAATTTAGTAAACATGAAATAAAAAAAGACTGCCAAAAAAAATCGAGAATAATTTTTTAGAAATATTAAAAAAAAGTGATATGAATGTTGTTAGTATAAATTTATGACATGTTAGCAAATTAATCTGCACTACCTTAACTCCCAGTAGGTGAGTTATTATATCTAGAATAGATGTGTATGTTCTAGCAAAGTTTGAGAGAGAAATGAAAAATTAAAGCAATGGAAAGATTTCATTTGTATATGTATGCATACCATGTAGGTAACTCCAGCTATCAAAATAAGTTCTTATAAAAGAGCTCAATCAGGCGGATCACTTGGCCAAAAAGGCATTTGCTTGAAGGAAGTGCAGCCCTTGCAGTGGCTAGCACCAACCTGAGGGCAACAACCACTCTATCCTGCATAGATCAGTTTGCAGACTCGCCTTGGATATTCTGACCATAGGTGCAATCATCCTTGGTGAACTCCTTCAAAGGACTCACCCAGACTAGTCCACGCTTTGAGGATCACTTGCCTCAATAGAACCCACTCACTCACAACAGTTATCTGCAATGAAGGTCATTAGTCTATTGCAGACATTCTCGATCAAGATAAATGAAGTACACACATTTGAAGTCTATGAGTACAACCTCGCTGACTGAAATTGTCCCTGGTTCATAGCTATTTCCGCCGAGAAGGCTTGCCCCTCGATCCCAGGGACTAGAGCGTCGTTAATTGGGATATAATTTAGGCCTCATGTATTAAAAATGTCAAGAGCTCCTAGAGATATATCATGGATGTCAACATTGTGTGATCACCCTATCATTCCTATGTATATATCATGGATGTTGATATCGTGCTGATCTCCCTATCACACAGATCAAACTAGTGTTTCCACTATATTGCATATGGTTCTTCCCATAGGTTCAACCCTAGACTTGCATGGCTAAATGTGACCAAAAGAGTAAAGCAATATGCAAAAGTGTAATAAAGCATGGCTTACAAAGTGATTCACTGATATGTCAAAAAGTGTTCAAAATAACAATCCTTACATGAAGAAGGCCTTGCTACTAGGATCACTCGACTCAACGGAAAAAACTCAGCATTAAAAAGATCTCATTTAGTTTGTTTCATGTTTTTGTGTTTCCTTTGGCTATGCCATTTGAACCGTGCATCACTTCTTTTATTAAAAAACCCATACCCTTCAAAAAAATTTCTTTATTTTGAAATCGGTAAATTAAAGTAACTGTTACTGTTGACTCCAAATATGAACTTATCGCTGACTAGCTTCATAGCATCGGACTCAAAACCTATTCATTTTAACGACGCTATCCTTAGCATTCTTATATATGATACAGATTCCTTTGTATACTTATAACATTTGGTTTGAACGAGGAAGTTAAAATTTACTTAATACTTTGATTAAAATGAATCTGGTTGTTGAGTATGGTGTGAATGAAAATATTGAGTTGTAGGGTAATTAAGTTTTAAGTGTAAGAAATGATCATAATAGAGAGATGGAAGGAATAGCACTTGTTGGGAATCAGATATTAGAAGAAAAAAAATTGAGACAATGCTTTATGATGTAGAATGTTGGCCAATAAAAGAGAAGCATAAAATTAAGTTAGGTGTTGCAAAGATAAGGATGCTCAGGTGGATGAGTGACTTCATTCTTAGAGATAGAATGTGAAATTAGTATATAAGTGAAAAAAAGGTGTAGCTCTATTAGCAGATAAGATTAGAGATTCGCCTTAGATGGTTTGGTCACATAAAACATTGATCTTATGATGACCCGAATAAGAGAGTAGATGTCACAACCCAACTCAATATAACTCACAAACAAAATATGTCATATCGTATTAGATGGACAAACCTAGCCCAAGATCTAATTTTGAAAACTCTTTAGATTCCTTTTATCATTAATAGATATCCGAGCTACTATTTAACTTCCAATAAACAAAAATGCTTATCCACACATCTCCTTTAATTTATCTTCAAAATGTATATACAACAAAATTTTTAAAATGTAGTGAGGCAAAACATAATAAAAAATAACCATGACTATACAAAATTTATAAACTAGAAAAATACCTATACATAAACAAATAGATTCTACAACCCTAGCTACTCAACTTACTCTTTACTCTTGCCTTACCTGAAATAGAATGCATAATAGGGGGGTGACTCAACACAGCTCAACAGGTCGCACCTACTAATCTATTTTTTTAATACTTAACCAACAATAACAACATCAAGCCTTTGTCCCACTACGTGGGTTCGGCCACATGAATCTTTTTTCTCCATTGCATCATGTTAAAAGTCAAATTTTCATTTAAATCTAATAAAAAAAGATCATTTCTAATATTTTTTAACCAAGTCTTTTTAGGTCTACCTCTACCTTTCTTAACATAAGTCAAATCTAATACCTCTACTTTTCTAACCGGGTCATTGGAAGGCCGCCGTTTTATGTGACCAAACCATCTAAGGCAACTCTCTTTAATCTTATCTTCCACTGGAGCTACTCCAACCTTTTCACGTATAAGCTCATTTCATATCCTATCTCTAAGGGTAAAGCCAGTCATCCACCTAAGCATCCTCATCTCTGCAACACTTAACTTAGTATATGCTTCTCTTTTAATGGCCAACATTCGGCACCATAAAACATTGCAGGTCTCACCACCATCTTATAAAAATTTTCCTTAAGTTTGAGGGGGACTTTTCTGTCACACAACAAGCCAACATAAATATGAATAAGATATTCTATTGAATAGAATAGTACTAACATAAACAACAAAAATTAAATATAATTATCTCAAAATATAAATAAAGAAACACTTTTTATATCAGAATAAAGATTAAAAGATTTTCCTCAGGCTCTTATACCTCCCAACATAAACAAATATTAGAATTCAGACCCTTATAGCTCATTGTGCTAACATATTAGAAAATAGGCCCTTATAACTACTAAATATTTAGCACAACAATTATTCAAAATTCAGGCCCTTATAGCTTGCAACACAACTAAATTCATCACTTCCGCCAACACCCAGACTTCTCAACATTTCACACAACTCAGATAATTCAAGCATATATTCTTAATAGTAAAAATATTTTTAGATAATTTAAACACTAACAAAAGTAATTGCATTTTTTCATTATTTATCTTTATGGCAGCCAAAATATAAATTTATATTTTCTAAATTGCACCAATTTATCATAGATTCTTCAGAATACTATTATGAAATTTTTATTGTATAAGAACATTTTTTTCTATATTGCTAAAAATATCAGATTTTCCAATTTACCCAAATGAAATTTTTTAAAGAAAATATTGAAATATCCAGAATATTCGTATGTATAACATGCAGAAAGTTACACAGTGAAAGCTCGATCGATATCAAGTTATTCCTATTTATGAGTTATCGTTTAAAATTTTAATTTAAAAAATCCCAAAGTTTTATAATATTAAAAATTGAGATAGACAGAATATAACTTACCTTGATTAGGACAATTTATCAAACTGAGATTACATAAAAAAATAGATTGAAGCAACTCGAAGCAGACTTTCTCTCTCTAAGATTCTCTCTCTCTCTCTAACTGATAGCTCTTAAGAGGGAAGAATTTGACAAATGAAAATTAAGTGGATTTTGATATTTTAGAAAAATTTTGATGTCAGCACTTCAATGCTAAGAAACCCAACGCCACTGTAATCGTCCAAAATTCATGTTCAGAAAATTTTTCTGCAAGCCTTGCGGCATCGAGATTGGCGGCGCCTCAGCATTGAGCTCATAGGTTTTAGGAGGAAAAAATGATTTTGATTGAGCGCTGTGGTGTCGGCTCTTAGGTGAAGATATTCTGGGAGAATCTGAAAGATTCTTTGGGAGTGAAGTGGCATTGGTATAATTGGTTGGACCGATTTAGTTGAACCAGCCCTTACCAAAAAGGGCGAAGCACTGAAGTAGACGAGCAAGCACATGCGAGCATGGGGGCGCAGCAAACGAGTTCGATTGCGCAAATGTGCGAAGCAGCACTTTCGAAAATGGAAAGCGGTGACTCCTCACGTGAGATATTCTCGATTCGCTTTGTCCAATTAAGCCAAATGAACGAAAGGAACCAAACAAGTTTAATCGAGAGAAAGAGAGAGACTTCAAACAAGTAGGAGGAGGCGGCGGTAAGCGATTTTGTAATTTAAATTTCTATATAGTTTAAATAATATAAAATATATGTATTTAGTTTTAATTGAGGTTTAATTTTAGAAAATTTAATCATGTTAATTATTGAATTAGGAGGGTTTATAATTTAAAACTTAGATTTTGAGAAAAAAAGTAAATTTAATAGATATAAATGGAAATAAAGAGAATAATTAGATTTCAAATTAAAACTTGATAATGAATAATATGTGATTAAATAATTAAATGAATATTATAGATAAAATCTATAATAAATTAATTAGAATTTGGAAATGCTTCTAAATTTATTAATGAAATTAAATTTAA